GCCCTGCGCCAAACCAGGCCAGTGATAGAATATTAATTATCACTCCCTGTAGTGAACACCTTTGGTTTTGCCTTTCTACCATTCACATCTCCTTCTTCTGATCATAGTACAACAATTTTCCATGGAGAGCCATCCTTTTCTACTTCTCCTTTTTTGTTTGTTTTGTTAATCCATGTGATTGGATAGGGCTTGTTTGTCAATGTGATGTAAATGTGGCCAGAGTACCAAAATCCTCTGGACACAGTGGCAGGTTCAGGAATGATTCCAAGAGCAAACCAGGCAAATAAAAACTTGATTCTGGAATTTACTGGGAGGACACTCTTTTTCCCCTATAAGGGAAGTAAGGCAGTTAGGAAGCAAGCCTGGAGGGGCTGATGGTCTCCTTATCACCATGTGCACTGAACAACTGAAACTAACTCTATTGAAACACAGAAAATGGAAGACATATGCTAGATTACATCACCTGAATCCCCGGATCCATCTGCTCCTGAAGTTATACTTGCGTGTTTTTCACTTATTTAGCCCATGGACTTCTTTTTCACTTTTAATTTTGGAATTGAGTTTCAGTCACTTGCAATGAAAAGAGCCCTGATTAAAACAGCCCTGTGCTTACTACTGTGAAAGAGATATTCTGTAAAGAGTCCATGGCTAGGCTATGACTCATGCTTGTATGGATAAATGGAGTCCTAGACACCAGGGACACTGTTGTGGGCTGGCCTTCCTCCCGCCTTCCTCTGTGGCCAGCCTGCCTAACAGCCCTTGAGCCTGGATCTTCAGAGTCTGGGTTCTCAGTCAGCACTGCAGCCTACCTAAACCCAAACAACACGTGAGTCTGCCCTTTTGTCAGGTTGATTCCAGCAATTTCTTTTCTCAGTGTCTCTAAAGATCTATAACAAAAGTTACAGATATCAGGGCTGGGGTAAGCTTCTAATAAATCCTCAGAGAATCTTTTCTGATATCTCCCTGATCAGTTCAAGATTTCTTACTGCAGAAGCTTAAATGTTGCCCAGACTTGTACACCCATCCCACCTTCTGCCCCAGCTCCCGTTGGCTATATTGGACTTTGGTAACTGCCAGGACTGGATTTGAGCTTGTTCTGAATTAAATTCTTATTTACCCTTCTACCATTCTTTGGGAGTGGTGAAAGCAATTTTATTTATGGATCTCTACACTTAGACAAGGGTATCCTGTTTTTTATATCTAGACCTTGTGAAACTGAATGAGCATCTCAATTCTCCATGTACCCAGTAACTATCCCCCACCTACAACTCTGAAATCAGAACTCAGCCTCGAGTTCTCTGACCAAAGTCTACTTTAGAAACCAGCCAAAGGGAATCTCTGCAACAGATTGGCATGGCAGCTACATGTGACTCCAACAAGAAAAGGCCTGTGCAATCATTCACACATCCTCATGCTGGCCATACAACAGCAGGAAAAGTGAAGAATGTCCACTAAAGGTAGGAGTGACCTGATGCTCCATCCCTGGAAGTGCCTCTGGACTTGTCCTAGAAGTGGATGTTGGGTGCTGACCAAGAGGACTTTGATAATTGTCGGTAAAGCTGGTCATATGGGTCCCTTGGTTGGAGCACTCCCCTCATTCTAGAGTTGGCTCATGAGCATCCTTGTTTCCTGAAAGGATGAGTACTGGGTTCCCTATATTAATGTGAGAAGCTAGACAGAGCTCCCAGACTCAGTTTGCCTTATCTCAAGGAGCCCTTAGGAAACTGCAGAGCCCAGATCGCTGAGCCAGCCCAGATTTTCTTCTCTCCTGATGGCCTGGGATCACCTCCTGTCCTGATCACGACCAGCCTGTAGATCTCTTGCACCTTTAAGGGCCAATGGAGAGAACATGGGTCCAAGAGTCCAAGACAGGAGTCCAAAATGCCTCCAATACAATCTAAATCAGAAGAGATGGATTCCTAAACTGGAAGGCATATGAGGGCCCAAACTCAAAGGGGCCAATTGTCTCCTGAAGAACAGACCAAGTGCTCCTTTCATCACTCATTTTCAATGTAACACTAGAAGTCCTAGCCACAGCAATCACACAAGAAGAAGAAATAAAACACATCCAAATTGGAAAGAAAGAAGTGAAGTTCTCATTATTTGCAGATGACATAATACTATATAGATTCTATAGAGAGAACCTTAAGGACTCCACCATCAAGCTATTAGAGCTGATAAATGAATTCAGTAAAATAACAAGATACAAAATTATTCAGAAATCAGTTGCATTTTTATATACCAATAATGAAGTATCAGAAAGGGAAACTAAGAAAATAATCCCATTTACAGTTAACTAAATAAACAAAAAAGCAAAAACAAAACCTCACCAAAAACCAAGTGAATAAATTTAACCAAAGAGTTTTGTAAAAGACCTGTACTCATAAAACTACAAGGCACTAAAGAAAGAAATCAAAGAAGATGCAAATAAATAGAAAAATATACCATATTTAAGGATAGAAAGAATCAACATTATTAAAATTTCCATATTACCCCAAACAATCTACAGATTCAATACAATACCTGTCAAAATACCAATGACATATTTCACAGAACTAGAATAAATAATAAAAAAATTATATGGAACCACAAAAGACCCCAAATAGCCTCAGCAATATTGAGAAAGAAAAAAAGAGTTGGGGTATGATGATAACTGAAATCAAACTATTCTACAAGGCCACAGTAATAAATTGGCATGGTATTGGAATAAAAACACACTTAAAAATCAATGGAACAGAATAGAGAGCCCAGAAATAAAACCACACCTTTATGGTTAATTAGTATTTGACTCACATAAAATGGGATAAAGACAGTGTATTCAATAAACAGTGCTGGGGAATTTGTGCAAAAAATAAAAATAAAACTAAACTACGCCTTATAAAAAATAAACTCAAAATGGATTAAAGACTTAAATGTAAGACTCAAAGCCATAAAAATTCTAGAAGCAAACCTAAGCAGAAAAATCTTTGACATTTCTCTTAGCAATATTTTTTTTCTGATATATATCTCCTCAGGCAAGGGAAACAAAAGAAAAAAATTAACAAATGGGATTACATCAAACTAAAAAGTTTTTGCACAGGTAAGGAAACCACACACACACACAAAGAGACAGTTTACTAAAAGAGAGAACAGATTGACCAATGATACATCTGATAAGGGCTTAATATACAAAATGTATGAAGAACTCATAGTACTCTGCACCAAAAAAACAAACAATCCAATTAAAAAATGGGCAGAGGATCTGAATAGACACTTCTCCAATGAGGACATACAGATGGCCAATAGACATATGAAAAGATACCCAACATCACTAATTATTGAGAAATACAAATTAAAACCACAATGAGATATCACGTCATGCCTGGCAGAATGGCTATTATCAATAAATCCACAAATGATAAGTGTTGGTGAGGATGCGTAGAAAAGGGGATCCTTATGCACTGTTTGTGGGAATGCAAACTGGTGAGAATAGAGAGCCCAGAAAAGCACATATGTCTCCTTTTCCCCCTATTGACCTCCCCCACAGCCATTCCCATCCTGAGAGAACTGGTGGTTGCCAGAGGGCACTGGGACTAAGAAGCACAAATTGGTAGCTGCAAAATAGTCATGGGGAAGTAAGAAAAGCATAGGAAATATAGTCAATTATATTGTGACTAGAGGCCCAGTGCATGAATTCATGCATGGGTGGGGTCTGGCCCGCCCTGATCAGGCCGATCGGGGTGAGAGGTGGGGAGAGAGGAGCTGCGAGCGGTTGGCCAGCCGGCCCCGGCCCCTGGTCGAAATCCTGGTTGAGGGGAAAATTTGCATTTTAGCCTTTTATTATATAGGATAACTATGTATGATGCCAGTTGGGCTACTAGAAATATGGAGGGGAGAACTATGTAAAATATATGCTTTTCTAACCACTAAGCTGTACACCCAAAACCAACACATTAAAAATAGCAACATGCCCAGCCAGTGTAGCTCAGCAGTTGAGTGTTAACCTGGGAACTAAGAGGTCACGGATTGGATTCCTGGTCAGGGCACATGCCCAGGTTGCGGGCTTGATCCCCTGTAGGGGCCATGCAAGAGGCAGCTGATCGATGATGTATATCTCTCTATCATTCTCCCTTCCTGTCTCGCTAAAAACCAATTAAAACCACAACAAACAGACCAAGGGGCTGAGGACCAGAGGAGGTAATAAAAGGTAGCCCAGAAGTCATGGTGGTAACCCTGCCACCCCTATTGCAGTCTTTGGTTCTCTCTGTGGCCAGGAGAAGGGATGGGTTGTTGAGTTCCTGTGACTGAACTATAAACTGAAATGTGGAGAACACCATATAAACAAATATGCTGGCCACACCCTAGGCTAGCCCACAAGTCTATTAAACGTTCAATATAGGAAACAAAGATTTATGCCTACAAGAAATTTGTTCTGAGTTTTAAAAAAGAAACCTGCCAATGGCCTTGGGTACACACCTTCTGTGTAAAGCTGGAGACGACCTGTACTGTGCTTGGGTAAACGCAGAGTGGTTTTGGACATATGGCAAGTGCTTGATGACCACTTTATGCTTGCTAGATTGGTTATTCTACAAAAGTTTACAGATGTTCTTTTCATATGTATTCTTTTTTGTAACTCAGCTTCAGTACACAACACAGAATCATACTGGTAATAGAGAGAGATTTTTAAAGGTGCATGATCCCTAGCCAGTGTGTCTCAAGTTTTCCTTTTCTTAGACTACATTGGCTGCTATATAGACATATGTATGTATATATAATATATATATACATATATCTACACTATCTGTATTTTACATATAAAATAAAACAAGGCAAAAATTTGTTTCTTTTGAGAGTTAATTAAAAACTTGACTTTTATACTTAATATAATAAGTATTATCAGATTCTCCTTAAAGGTAAAGTCTCCATTTCAAAGGGTTGGTTACAAGGGCAGCATGTAATAAAAAATTCACAGGTCAAATTTAAGGTCCTGGGAAAAGTACAAATGGAGTATATTTTCTGGCTTTAGGAAGATAGCATTTTTATTTGATTGTTTTTTACAGAGTCAGAAAAACCCGGAATGCAGTCAGGGGAGCTGAGAGGCAACAACCCTTCTTGCATTTTTCCCTGTGAAGGAGGCTAGGACACTGTCCTGAGGCCGCAGGGCACCATGTGATCAGCGGGGCTCACTGTGTGGAGGTGGCTCAGCGTTGGCCAGTCACACAGATAGTCATTCAAGCCGAATTCTTGAATTTCAGCATATTTTGTTTCTGAAAAAACAAAAACCAATTATTGATAGCAATGCTGACCTCAGATATGCAGTCTATCGTAGTGAAATGACCTTTTCTATCCATAATATTGCCAGTTAAAGGTGACCCTGAACCTGCCTGGCCAGGTGCCCCCGTTGGTTGGAGCGTTGCCCTGTGTACCAAAAGGTTGCAGGTTTGATTCCTGGTCAGGGCACATACCTAGGTTGAGGGTTTGATCCCCAGTCAGGGTACAAATGGGAGGCAACCGATTGATGTTTCTGTCTCACATTGATGTTTCACTTTCTCTCCCTTCCTCTCTAAAATCGAACATATCCTTGGGTGAGGATTAAAAAAAAAAGACACTCTGAACTTATTGACATAAATTCAGTGGGTGAAGCCGAAACCGGTTTGGCTCAGTGGATAGAGAGTCGGCCTGCGGACTGAAAGGTCCCAGGTTCGATTCCGGTCAAGGGCATGTACCTGGGTTGCGGGCATATCCCCAGTGGGAGATGTGCAGGAGGCGGCTGATCGATGTTCTCTCTCATCGATGTTTCTAACTCTCTATCTCTCTCCCTTCCTCTCTGTAAAAAATCAATAAAATATATTAAAAAAAAATTCAGTGGGTGAAAAAAACAAACACCAGATATTTTTCTTGAATTTCGTGTTTTTAATCACCATTGTGGTTTTGATCATCCTTCTTTTTTTTCTTTGCCAGCCCTGCTCTGTCTTACCAAGACATTCTTTGAAACATCACCCCAAAGTCCTCTGGGTTTCATGATTAGAGCACATTATCATAAGATTATATTAGCTGTGACCCACCTTTCAAGCTGTGCTTGATAAGGGGACTGAGCCATATCTGCTTCAACTCTATCCTGCATTGGGCCAAGAAGGGCTTTAAACATAGTAAATGCTCAGTAGTTGTAATCTAGAATTTTGAAGTTGAGCTAAACTAGGTCTGGCCATCATCAATTTATAATTAAAACAAGATTCAGATTAGGACTTTTTCCTTCCCAAACTCAGCCTCCACAACCCAACTCCCAGCCTACCATGGAAGTTCTAGGGCCTCATTCCGGCTCATCTCCCTGTTCTGTACCTTCCTGAGCCTCCCAGCCCACTCCCCACTCAGGTCTTTTCCTAGGCAAGCAGCAACAGCCACCCATGCCTTCCCACCTCCCCTCCACCTGTCTTCCCTGCTCAGCCTCTGCTGCCCTGGGCTCTGGGTACTGCTTTTAAGAAGGGTCAGAAGCATAAAAGTCAGGGTTTTTGGTATTTCATGACATCTATAAATAACAGTCATTATAGAGCTACCTTTTACTAAAGATCCCCTATGTACCCAGGTAATATGTTTAACACATACCTCAAATGTGTTGTTTACTTAGCACCATGACAGAGAACCATTCCTTTTGCTAATTCATTTGCTTAAAAGCTATCTAATGAACAGCACAGTGAAGAGCCTTGCTCTGATGGAGCTTCTGTTCCTATGGAAAGAGAGAGACTAAACAAGTAAACAAGGTAATTTCAGATAGTGACTACACCAGGAAAGAACTGACGCTGGGTAATGATGTAGTGGTGCTGCTTTAAATAGCGAGTTCAGGGACACTGTCTCCAAGGGGTGACATTAGTGCTGAAACCCAAATGAGGTAAAGGAGGCTGATGCTGTAAAGAGCATTCATGCACAGGGCCCAGCATGGGCAAAGGCCCTGAGGAGGGTATGGGCTTATCACATTATTAAGGTATCTGTGGGTCTGTCTGCTTTCTCTGCTAGAATTTGAGTAATACTATAGATCCCTTATATACTTGCTGGAAACTGGACTTTCCATACCCAGTATTCTCCAGGCTCGGCTGGACACTCTAGTATACCTATAAGCATTGTCTTTACCTACAAGATGCAGTCAAAACTCTACCTCTGCTTGGCCTATATCTTGGTATCTAATGGACTCATTTTGTATTTGTTTCCTCCTGGCTTATTTTTCCATCATCACATCTGCCCTGGCACCTCCTGGCACTTGTGATGCTCAGAAGAGGTCATTCATTCAACAGATATTCCAAACATCAACCTTATGCGGGCACTGCGCTAGGACTTGGGACCTATCAATTAATGTTTACAACTCTGTGTAGAACTTCCATTTTGAAAATGAGAAAAACTGGAGTCACAGGAAATTAAGTGAATTGCTCAAGGCTAAGTGGCATAATTTTAACCCAAGCATTTGGATTCCAAATCCAATGTGTTTTCCAGTGCCTGACTGCAAGATTAAGGTGGGATATATGTTAACAATTTGATCTTTTACCCTTTGGGTGAATGGTTTTCAAAATTATTATACTTACAAGCTTTAAAAATACAGATTCCTTGGCCCCACCATCAGAGATTCTGACTCAGTAGTTTTTTTTTGGATGTGGTTGCTGGAACTCAGTGACACCCTTGGGTGACGTAAGGAAAGGGGCTTGTAGACCACACTTTGAAAACTGGTACTGCTATGGCTTTTTGTTTGTTTTCCCAATTCTCATGCATAGGCAAAACCGAACCTGGACAATTGTTTTGTAAGTACATTTTATGATGATTTAAAAATGGATATAGATTTTAAAAAACTGGTATTTGTGTCTCTTTTCTAATCTGGACAGCATTAACAAACTTTGCTTTGAAACAATTTTTGTTGTTTAATAAAATGACTTTCCCTCTGCTGTCCTGTTTGAAGCCTCTCTTGTGGTCACTGTTTCATGCCCTTGGCCTTCTGTCTGTGGCTTCCCGGCAGCAGGCCTCCCAGCCACAAGGATGGCAGTGGCCTCCAGGACTCCCTGGCTCGGCCCAGCAGCTCCAGGCATGCTCACTTCTTCACAGCAGGCTCAGAGCACGAGCTTTTGCAGCCACAGGGAAAAGGGGATGGGAGAGGCTGGTTTTGGTTTTTTCCCATCCTAAAGCATACTAGCCAAACTGCAGGCTATGAGTTCAGTGTACTTGTCATTCTTTCTTTAAGAAAATGACTACGGTGTCCACAATCACTCCTTGTCTTATTTGGCCAGAATAATGGATTTTCTTTCTATTTTGTTTAGCTTTCTGGCACATCTAAAATCAGATGTAATTCTTTATTAATTGCTTTGTGTTACTACTCTATGCGAAAGTCACCTAAGGCTTGTGATTCACTATTTATGAATTTTATCCACTTTTCAATCACTACATGAAAATAAATACCCGTGCACTTGCAGCTCAAGTTACAAAAGAGAGGCCCTGGCTGATGCGGTTTAGGTGCTTTGAAGAGCAAAACTGCAGTGACCCACCCATGTTTTATTCCCACACAGTTTGCCTCCCACTTTCCCCTCACTGTCCACAGGAATGTTTCCCTGGAAATCAGGGGGAGAAGCAGGGAACCAAGAGAAAACTCTTCTCTCCACGTGGCCATGGCTTCTCAGAGTCCCCCAGAGGCAAGGCCTCAGCAGGAGGTATGAGCGAGGTGCCCCTCTCTCGCCTCAGCCGCAAGGTCTCTGGTGGGTGGGAGCTGTGAATGTTTATTGAGTGCCTACTATGCACTTGGCACCTCAGAATTGTTTTGATCAGTTACAAACATCTCTTTCTTCAAGCAATGGGCTGCACGTGCCGATCATCATCAATAGCTGTCTTGGTGACTGGGACTTTCTGGGACCCCTCAGCCTCAGGGAGCACACACCCCACAACCTGGGCTTGCAGGATTCCCTGATGGGCTCCCAAAGATTACACGTCCTTCTGGCCGTGCCCATTGCTAGGGGCACCTGGAAATGCTCCCTCAGCAGGACACAGTCCACTGCTATAGCCCCAACAGATCCATCCCCCTGCTCCCAGCCTCTCTCTGATTTATCTCAGAACTGACCGCAGAGGGTTATCAGCAAGCCCCTCAGCGTCGGGAAATGTTTCAGTTCTTTCTCGGGCACTTAAAGGGTAGGGCTGGAGGGGACCTTATCCTGAATTTCCCTCCAAGGGGGTGGTCATGGATCTTAGTCTCTCTACAGCAGCATGACCAGGGGCGGCCAGCAAACCTTGTTTACTCCAATGCAATGAGGGAACTTTGGAGCCTTGAATCCCTCCTAATTCTGCTTGTTAGGTTGAGGATCAGCCCCCCTCCAGTCACTATCCCACAAACACCCCTGATGTTATGGAGTGGGCTACTTTCTAGGGAAGATGAGACCTCATTCTGGTTTCATAACCTTTCCATTCAGTGGATGGGTGGGGAGAGGGGAGAATCTGGGATTGGCGTGAGCTGGCTTCTAAGGAGGACACCCTGGAATCTACATCATGACTTCCCTGGGGTTTGATGAACTTGGCTCTACTCCTCCAGGGTGTTTAATTAGAGAGGTGGAGGCAGGGGCTGTTAGGGTTTCTGGACAACAGGCAAGTAGCTTCATGACACTGGGGCCTGTCTGGGCCATCGGGGCCAAGCAGGACCACTTGCAGCAGCCAAGGCAAGGGTACGAGGAGAAGTTCCAGTGAGAGAGAGAGAGAGAGAGAGAGAGAGAGAGAGAGAGAGAGAGAGAGAGAGAGAATTCTGGCAAGGAGCGGGCAGAGTGTCAGGCGCCAAGCCAGGCAGCTGTGGTTTGGGGCAGGGTTCCAGGGCCAGGAGGGAACTGGAGTGCCAAATGGAAGCTGAGCAGGCGCCCAGTCATATGCTAGGCTTGGCCCACAGGGTGAGTTTACACAGAAATGCTCTGGCTGCAGGGCACCTGGGTGCCAAAGAGCTTTCCTCGGCACTTGGATGCTGGGCTTAGGGCAGCAAGACTGACTGATCCCTCTCCCACTAGCAGCCAAGGTCCCAGATTATGAGACAATAGGCTTGTGTAGGATCAGCTCAGCAACCAGCAGGGCAGAGTAAATGTGCAGATGTTCCAGGGACATGAGTTTACCTTTACCTTCATCCTTCGACCACCAGATGCTTTTCCAGGAGGGGCAGCCACTCCTGCAAACTGAAACAGATGAGGTCTTGCAACGGTTCCTGATAGATTTTTTAAATTTTTTTTTTTTATTGATTTCAGAGAGGAAGGAAGAGGGAGAGAGAGATCAAAACATCAATGATGAGAATCCTGCACACCCCCTCTGGGGACTGAGCCTGCAACCCAGGCATGTATCCTTGACTGGAATCAAACCCGGACCCTTCAGTCCCCAGGCTGACACTCTATCCACTGAGCCAAACCAGCCAGGGCTAAATTTTTATTTTTATCTCTAAAATACACAGACACACAAAGAGACTGTAGGTGACAGACAGATAGATATGTACATCCATATGTATACAGAGACACACACATGTAGATAGGCCTTAAATACAGAGCAGATGAATTCCTAAAATTCCCTATTTAAATTAAATTTTTGAAAATAATTTCTACTTGAAACTTATCAAAGCATCATCTCTTGATGGATCTGCATGCTCTTTAATTAAATAACAGGATATACTAGTATACAGCCTAACCTTTCCCCCACCCTTCTTTTCTATCTTATTATCAGGAAGCTCAGAGCTAAACTTCATACTTAATTTCATTACTACCTTAGCTTAAATCTTCTAATTTAATTGTTGTCTTTTTTCAACTAATTTTAGTACTTGTCTTCTGTATATATAGTTCTTTGATATAATAATTTTATGGCCGAAACCAGTTTGGCTCAGTGGATAGAGCGTCGGCCTGTGGACTGAAGGGTCCCAGGTTCGGTTCCTCTCAAGGGCATGTACCTGGGTTGCGGGCATATCCCCAGTAGGAGATGTGCAGGAGGCAGCTGATCAATGTTTATCTCTCATCGATGTTTCTAACTCTCTATCTCTCTTCCTTCCTCTCTGTAAAAAATCAATAAAAAATATTTTTTTAAAAAAAAATAATTTTATGGATATTTATCAAATGCAATTTTGAATAATTTTAAAAGTGAATAATGAGTAATAAATAAATGAGTTGAATTTTCTAGAATCTTAAAAAGATGCACCAGGAAAGTTGATCAATTGATGAACTATTAAGTTCTGGAAAGGCAAGATTCTATTGTAATAAGCAGTATCCTATCATAGAACCTACCTGGTTAGAGTTTGGTGATAGGACTCACCCTCTGAGATTGAGTGTGAAAGTGTGTTCTGTGGTGAGGAATGGATTCCTCAGAAGTACCTGCAGCGGGAGGTACTCCAACGTGGTCAGCTCTGCCAGCGCTGCGCACTTTGTACCAAGATGAGCTGTATTTACAAACACACCTCGGAATGTTGGCCACATCCTCGCTGGGCAATTGGGACAATGCTTTTGCAGTCCTTTATCTGATCCACTAGGTCAACATGGCGCCTTGACTCAAAGATATCAAGGCAGAGAAAGGCCTGCAGTGTCACTGAGTCCATTCCTCAGGGTGGGGCAGGAGTGAGAAGCAACCTGATCTGCCCCTCCTACCTCAAGGGAGAAGCATGTGGTGAACTCTCTTTATGCCCAGAGTGAGCCATTGGCACCGGCCATCTTAGGAGTACCCAAGTTAGTTTCTCATTTTGGCATCTCTCCTTTACTTATCTT